ATACACACACACACACACACACACACACACACACACACATACACACTCTCACACAAATACATACACAGAAACACACCCACCCATCCAACCCCCCATCACACACACCCCCCCCACACATATCCACACCCACACTCTCCCCATCCTACACACACACACATCCACAAACACACACTCACCTCATCAGTGTGCCCACTAAGTGTAGCCAGCAGTCTCTCCGAGTGGAGGTCCCACAGTTTGAGCGTCCCGTCGGCAGATGCAGAGACCAGGTAGTGGTTGTTCTCCGACCTCGCCACGGCCTTCACCTCTCGGGCGTGAGCAGTTTTGCTGTTGTGGGACACCAGGAAGCGAGTCGTCTGGGCTGTAATTGTAATAATAATAATAATAATAATAATAACAATAACAATGATATTAACAACAACATATTTTTTTAGTAAGAATTTTACAGCACTTGCAACACAATAAGGTCATATAAATGCCGAAGATTAAAGGGGTTACAAACGAGTAACAAACACAAAAAAGAAGGAGAGATTGGGATGATAGATGTTTGATAGGAAAAGAACGAGCAAACCACACCAGAGCACCCGCCAACCACCCACAGTAAGAGTGTTATGGCACTTGCAACACAATAAGGTCATACAAGAGCCGAAGATTAGAGGTGTCACAAGCGAGTAATAAACACAAAAAAGGAGGAGAGATAGGGACGATAGATGTTTGATAGGAGCAAACCACACAAGAGCACCCTCCAACCACCCATCAACAACAACAACAATAATAGTTTAGTTTTAGTAAGAGTTTTATAGCACTTGCAATACAATAAGGTAATATAATTGCTGAAGATTAGAGGTGTTACAAGAGAGTAACAAACATAAAAACAGAAGGGGGAGAGATAAGGATGATAGATTTTTTTATAGGAAAGAAGAAGCAAACCACACCAGAGCACCCGCCAACCACCCACCAACAATAATAATAATAATAATAATAATAATCATCATCATCATTGTCATCATAATCATTATAATAAAAATAATGATAATAATAATAATAATTGTATTTGTATAGCATATATCAACAATCAACAGCATGCTCTATGTGCTTACAACTATTATTACCCCAACAGATTGAACAGTCTGGGTGTAGCCTTTTCTGTGCCTATCCACAATATCGTCATGATTGCTTAAGTCATTTTTGGGGCAAACTGAGCAAGTCCATATCTAGATAATTTGATTAGTTCCCCAGATTTCTGTCCAAAAAAAAAAAAAAAAAAAAAAACAGAACAAAAAACAACTGTGCACATGTCTGCTTTGTAAGGGGGAAAAAAACCCAACAACTTCAGTTATTATTGAACAAGTGTGTCACTGATAAATTATTACTTCTTCAATTTGACTTTATACCCAAACCCATTCCGTGTGTTCTTTCTTTTTTCTTTTTTTTTTTAAATGACACCATTTACATCTTATTGTCCTTTCATTTTCATTAGGAAACAAAACATGTCAGCTATATCTTAAATGCAGGCTTTGACGTGGTATCCACAAGAAAAACGTAAGAAAGGGAGACCAAAGATGACAAGGAGGCGAGCAGTACAATCGGAAATGGAAAGGGCGGGGACATCATGGAATCAGCTAGAAAAGGATGCACAGGACAGGCTTCGCTGGAGAAATGTTGTTGATGGCCTATGCTCCACGGGGAGTTAAAAAGGGCATGAGAGAGATATCTTAAATGAGTGGACCAACCCAGATCACCAACATCTGTTTCAGAAAAGAATTTCTTTTATTTCTTTATTTATTGATTTTATTTACAGAGAAGTCAAACTCACCACCGCGGAGACTCCAGATGACCAGTTCACCATTCCTGAGACCAGTGACCGCCTCATCATGAGGCAACACAGCTGTGCACTCCGGTACGGCATCCATTCGCATGATTGTGGGGTCATTGATGCTATAGGAGGTCAAAGTCATGTCAAAGACGACAAACTCAGCCTGGTTGTCAAGAGAGTTGGAGTAGCCAGCTATCACAAATCTGTCATTCTGGAGAAAAGACAAGAGTTAACACCTAATCAAAGTCCAGTTGAAATTATCCACGATAGCTGACCACCCATTGTTGAGAAGAAAAGTGGTTGTCTTAGAGAGGTGGATGCTTTTGATAATCTTGTTATAATATAGAACAAAATACGGGGTGGGGGGCAGTGGGAAGGTGCTGTTTGTACAGGTGATGGTCTTGTACAAGTGGCTGTTAGAGCAAGTTCAACTGTACATCAATCCACAATGTTTACTGAGGTGTAGAATTCCACACAAAATACTATAAGAATCCTCATGATACAATAAATGAGCAATGTTAATAAGCAAATCAATTGTCACTACAAATAATTTTTCAACAATTTTCACCATCACAAATTGTGCCTTACAACAAATGACAGCCATACATTCTCAAATTTAAAAATAGACAGCTTCTCTTGAATAAAAGCAAAGAGTCTACATAACAAGAGGGGCCACTTCTCTCTTTGAGCCAATTAAAAAAGTGTCCTCAAAATTCGGTGGCGCCCTCTTCGCAAAAGCGCACTTTTTGCGAACAGAGTTACCCTACTTGAGTTTAAAAAATCAAAGTGAAACTAGCAAGTTTTTGAATAAATTTCGGAAGAATGCTTTTTTAAAAT